GATTATCAACATCTTACAATGGATGGTCTTTAGGTTTAACCTCTTCTTTTATAGTCTTTCATTTGTTCAACTTGCTCAGTTCTTCTAAAATTTTGCTCAACTCCTTTTTGAGCTCTTATTGGACCCTCTTCAACTTCTCAATGTGGCTTGTATTGTCTTACTTCATTCTTTTGGCTTGGGCTCAAATGTTATAATGGTGTTAATTTATCCTTGGACCTTGATTTTTCACAATTATGGTGCAAATTTAAAGGGATGTTTATGGAATCACCTAATTATGCATGAGATTGAATGCATAAATGCACAAATGCAATAAAAAAAATTTAATGATGTGAATGTTTGCATATACAATAAAAGAAAAGGGGTTAGTAAATATGATATACACAAAGAACAATATAATATACATATATATAGAAAACAATGTAAATGGTTAGTATACTAATAATATATACAGAAAAAATATATAGATCTACAAGCAAAATAAATGTCCCATCATGTGTCATGTTGAGGATTTTTTAACACAAGGGAAGGCATAGCTCTAACTTAAGTTTGGACCCTTAAGGTTTACTTATATGCTAGGTTCAAATGTTTGATAGTCTTAGGATTCCCAAATTATTCCTCACATTACTGTTTATTATAGACTAGTAAGGTATCTTAATCCTCACCCATTATATGCTACAAGCGAATAAGGTTAAATTTGAGTGAGAGTTTTTTGCTAACCTATGTGGAGACAAGAAATCTTACAAATGCATAGTTACTTTACTCTCTCATAGGGGATAGAATTCGAATGCAGAGCTTAGGTTATATATGTGTAAATGAATGATAGATATAAATAATAAATAAATAAATAAAATATAAAAAGGAAAAATTCTTAAATTTATTAAGTTAGGCTTGGATAACAAGAAATTATTCACTGGCTTGACTCTTGATATCCCTAATGAAGTAGCCAAACAATCATGACATATATATCTGTAAACCTACCGCTAGACATAGACTTTAAAAGTCACCACTAATATTTTTTGTTTAGGTATAATTGACCATCTAACTAAATCTGTCTCATTTAAAACGGAGTCTTAAGATTGACTTAGGTATCTTTAAATAGTAGATTTTAGTTCACGAAACTATATTTTAGGTTTAAGAGTGCGGTTACATATGAAGAAGGTTATAGCACCCTTACAGCACCCATTGAAAGGATGATACCAATTTCATTTCAAATTATCTAAGCCTTAAAATATTTTGTAATTTTATCAAATCATTTAATTATTGAAAATTAATCCTAATTTTGCTTCAATAGTTTGATAGCAATATAAGATGATTTTCACATCAAGAGTATTTATGAAGACTAATGTCCCATTCTGAAGAGGTTCCGTCATTGGATTTATTAATATATTTTATTCAAGAAAATAATTAGTAAAATCTTTTAATAGTTTGGTAAGATTTACTTTTGATGCAAATTTTCAAATTGTTTGGTGAGATTTTATTGTAAAATTATCTTTAGAAATGCATTAAATTTTTCAATAGTTTGATAAGATTTAGTTTTAAATTCAAATCCTCTAATAGTTTGGTAGGATTAAAAGATAATTTTTTGAAAACTTTTTTTCTTAATAATAAAATAAAATAAAATAAACACAAATTATCATACAAAGATCACCATGCAAAATAATATTATATCATGCAATAATAATATATCATGCAATAAACATAAGTTATCATGCAATAATATAATATATAAATTATCATGCAATTGATATAAAATATCATGCAAATATATTAAACTTATGCCGAAATAAGAACTAAAGATAAATTAATAAAAACATCATGCAAAAATAAATATTTTTATCACATTAACACAATCAAAATAATAAATATTAAAATATAAATATATATAATCAAAAATAAAAAATAAACAAAAAAATGGATAAACTTGGGCTACGGGTCAAACGCCCGATGGGTCACGTGCGGACCTCCACAGATTTCACGTAGATCTTGATTTTCTCAAAATGATGTCATCATGGTTTGATATAAAAGGTAATTTTTTTTCTTTAGTTGCCTCAGTCTTCTCTCTCTCTTTCTAGCTCCAACTCCCTCTGACTTTTCTCTAGAAGTCTCATTAAGAACTTCAACTAAATGCAAAACCTAGCCAAAAACCTAGTCTTTAACACCAAGAAATTCCATCGACCATCGATAATTGCAAATTTTTTCAAAAAAACAATAAAATACAGATAACGGCCACCATCAAACCTTATAAGTTACGGTGACTCCACCAAAAAATTTAAACCCTCACCAAAAAATTAATTAAAAAAACCCAAAATTTCATATGCAAACCTAAAATACCAAATTCTGAATTTCAATAAACTTTAAAAAATTTCAGTAAACTTTCAAATTTTCAATCATGAATTTTGAAAACCAAAAATCAAATCCATGACCCTAAGACTCTTAAACCCAGAAAACAGTCAACCTAAGAAATCCAATAAGATCCAAAAACAAAAAACCTTTTTACCCATTTTTGGATTCCAAACAAATTCCAAGAAACCTTAAAACTAATTTAAAAAAAAAAAACCTAAAATTAAAATCCAACCAACCTCCATGAACCCAAAAAATGCCTCCTCCAAACTCAACTTAGAAAACTAATTTATGGAAAACCTTTTTTCTTTTCTCTAATTTCTTTCCCTTATTTTGTGTGATTTAGGGCACTATTTATAGGCATTTATTTATTAGAAAGTTAGGGATTTTCTTCAATCAAATCCCACAAATTAATTTAGGGTTTAATCAAATCTCTCAAAATTAATTAAGGTTTCAAGAAATCAAATCTGTTATGCGATTCTTGGTCTAAGCCTTAGTCTAGTTCGATTGTAGTCAACAAATTTCGAATTTGATCAACTTCAAATGAATCGAATTCCCAAAATTTTTTTATGGCTTTTCTTTTCCTTTTCTTTTAGTCAATTTTTATAAAATTATTACTAGGCCATAGCCCACCAAAATAAGCCGAATTTTGGTTTTATAGCCCAAATGCAATATAGCCCTTTGTTGGGCTCAAAAATCCAGAATACCATCCAAAGTAGGCCTATTTGAAACTCGAAAGGCTTGATAAACATTTCAAAGGTCTGACGATCCTGATAATCAAAAATTTCATGTCATCTTGGATGAAAAGGGGTGTCTGTATTTATGACTCGTCTATCTTTTTAGGGAATCCATATGAGGATTTGTCAAGGATGGTGTGGATTAGACAAAATATCCTTGGTTTGTTGGTGCTTTGTCTAAGGATAGTGTGGACAAGGAAGTGGTTTTCTTGGATGGTTGGTGGTATCTAGCCTTCTCTAATGTCTTGTTGGCTATTATGTTGTAGTTGTGTTTTAATGAGCTTGTGTCTCTTGAAGTGTGTTTCTCAATTAAGTTGTGATTTTGGTTTTATCTTGCTGTGAGTGACAGATCAGACTTATCTTGGCCCTCTTTTTCTTGATGAAAGTAAATGAAATGGTTGATTTGTGGCATGCTCTGAAACATCAAGAGGTCAAGAGCTTTTGTGTGCAGTGATTAATAGTGGTTTGATTCTTCTTGTCAAAAGTTATTTGGTACTTTGCTATCTTTGGATAAAATATATGTATGACATATCAGATGTTTTATTTGAGTCTCTTGACTATCATCTTATTAATAAAATGCCTAACAAAAAAGAAAAAGTATAGAAGAGAGGACTTTATACATGTTCACTTAATAATTACTTATTAATTTTAATAAACATAGAGATCTAATATAACATTTGTCATTCTTTTTTAGTTAGATTTGATAATTTTAGAAATGATGCTAAAATAGTTCAAAAAATATGTAAAAATAAAAAGGTTTAAAATTTTGAAAAAACCTATATAGAAGTTTCACAAAAACTAAAAAATATGTTTCATATTTGACATATCGATACAAATAATAATAAAAAAATTTTTGTATTTTACATATATTTAATACAAAACAAACATGGTATGGATACGCTAACTACCAAGTATTTTAAAAACTCTACTCTAATGTGTCTAAAAATTTTCCATCTCTTTTTACCATTTATTAAAATATACATGTGGCCAAGCTGTAATTTTTTAGCTTCAGGGAGCTTTATCTCTTGGCAATATTTTAGTATCAAATTAACAACTTGACTAGTGTGGGGAGCTTTTGTTTCTAAAGGGAATTTGTCTATAAGCAATATTTTACTAAAAAGAAAAACAATTTGACTTGGCTTACATTTTTTTTGCCAATTTGAATGGTATCTTTGTCCAACTTCTAAAATAAAATACAAATGTAAACCATAAACAAGCGGAAGTGAAAAACAAAATACATTAGGTATGTATATATACTTGTTCCAAGTTCTCTTTTAATAATCATTATTCTTTATAAATTTATATTTGTTGTATTATAAGTTTATGGATATTATATACTATTAGTGAATCATACGATGATACTTCATTAAAAAATTTTAATTATATATGTTTTTAAGATTAAGAGTATTTGTTTTTTAAAAAATTTTCAAATTTTAAAAGTAATTTTTTTGTAAACTATTTTTGTATGATTCACTATAATATATAATATTTATACACTGACACTAAATAATATATATATATATATATTATATAAAAACTCTTAAAAGAAAATACCAAAACCAATTAATAAAATAATATGTTCTAGTGCAATGAGGCAGGTGTATATAATTAATTTTTATTCAACCACAATCATGTTTACCTTCTTAGTATTTTTTTTAGATCTTTGAAAAGTCCATTTTCTTTAGTCTTGGTTTTCTTTTTCTAACCTTCTTTTATCAATATTTATCTTGGTTTTTTAAGGTGTATGAACTCTATATATGTGCAACTTCTTGCTCATTGTCTTCATCCTTGAAACAAATCACTCTTTCTCCAGAAATTTCATCCCTCAGATCAGTTGCCTTGCTGATTGTTGCATAATGATCTCAAATGAGGCTCCAGGACATCTAGTTAATCTAGGACATTAAATTACTTCGATCGGTGTAGCTGGCGAAACGGGAAGTATTGAGAGTTTGTACGAGATAATTCACCAGGATGCATTCATTTTAGAGCGGATTGATCAAGTGCCTTTCATTGATACTCCATTACATAAAGCTGCATCCGCAGGGCATATTGCTTTTGCAATAGAGATGATGACTTTAAAGCCATCATTTTTCAGAAAGCTAAACCCAGATGGGTTGAGCCCCATGCACTTGGCTTTGCGAAATGATCGCTTCCAATGGGTTCTGATGCTCTCAAAGATTGATAAAAGCCTCCTTCGCGTCAAAGCAAGGGAGGGTATGACTCCTTTTCATTATGTTGTTGAAAAAGGGAACCTTAATCTTATAAAGCAATTTCTTGAAATAAGCCCTGAATGTACCATAGATTTGACAGTGAAAGGAGAGACTGCCCTGCACATAGCCCTAAAAGAGGACAGGGTTGAAGCTCTTGTATATATAGTCCATTGGCTTCATCGTCGATGCTTCCAATATGTTGAAAATGCAGAATATTGGCCAAGAAAAGTCCTGAATTGGGGGGATCTTGAAGGAAACACTGTGTTACATGTTGCAGCAAAAAGAAATGAATCACAGGTAAAAAAAAAGAAAAAAGAAAAACAGGGGGTAAAGCAATTTTCCCCACTTCATAGGCTTGATTAACTAATCCCTGCTTCTGTTAACCATGCAGGTAGTAAAAAGATTGCTGTTAACCAATCAAATAGATAAGGAAGCCAGGAATTCGGAAGGTTTGACAGCTTTGGATATCATAGAACGTGAAAGACACAGAAACCTAGTAAACAATGATGAGATCAGGTTAATGCTATGCCGTTCTGTTCAGAATTTGAAATTTTCCGGATTTGGCCAACCTAAAGCCTTCTTTGCAAAGATCATTAACAATTTTTTCCATATAGAAGTGGCACTATGCCGTGCGAGTCTGAATATGAGAAATGAAACCCGAAGCGCGTTCTTAGTAGTTGCAGGCCTGATTTTAGCAGCAACCTACAATGCCTCTTTGAATCCGCCTGGCGGTTTGTGGACGAGTGCTGATAGAAGTGCTAGCATGAATATCAGTAGCAATCACACCCTTAATGGAACAAGTTCATCTCCACAGCACATGCCTGGCACATCAATCACGGGTGAAGCACAATTTTTTCTATTCTGGTTTGCAAATACTACAACCTTCTGGCTCATACTTATGCTAGTAACGTTTCTCCTTCCAGTTGGATATCTCTCCATGTGTTTTCTCTTTTCCCTTGCATTTTTAGGACTTTGCTACGTCATTTCCATGGTAATCACCCGTCCAACCCCAGTCTGGAATTTAGTTAATGGCTTTGGTTTTTTTTTGTTCAATTTATTCCCCACCCTCATCATGTATCGGCTTTCCCGCAGACCTTTTTTTAACGTAGACTTTTAAAACAAGCTTACCAGGAGCCCTTTAAAACAAGTTTGATCCCCAAGCTTTACTTAAAAGTTAATCCCTTTGTTAGAGACTATAATTAAGGTGTTCTATACTGTAGGGTGCTCTCTAGACCAATCTACTGTAATTTAGTTTTATATTAATAAAAAATCTGTTTGTTGACTTTGTCCACTCAACAATAAGAGACAAATTGGACTTCACTCCAAGTTGTTCATCCTCATTTCTCTCCAATTATTTCTCTTTTTTATTATATGTTGATCTCACCTTCATCATGCACGATTACTGATTTAGGTATTGCCAAATACCATTTTCTCAGTTCTAACTCTATCATTGAGTTTTCTTGTTTTCCCTTTTGACTTGAGGGATGATGCATGGCGAAGGGGGCAGGAGAAGAGAACCACTGCTTGTTAAGGATAAACCCATGAGCTGTGAATAAAAAAATTAAACCATTAACGCTGCTACTAAGGTACTTGATGATGAACCACTAAGCCGCTAACTACAACAATTAAGATTTTTAGTGACAAGTTTTTTGTGACCGTGAGCAATGTTATTACAAATATAAAGTTTTTGTGACAAAATTTTCTTATGACACTATTGTAATAAGCAATTATGATGTATTGTTTTTAGGTCACTAATATAATAGTAATTGTGACGGTTTAAATTTTTCACAATTAAATTGTCACTATAAATATGTTCTTGTAATACAAAATTATTTGTGATTATAAAATCGTCATTGATAAAATGCACAAAAATGACTGCTCGTTCATTTTGGTGGGAAGTAATATACTAGTGACAACATATAAAATGGTTGCTACTATTAGATATTGTTGTGATAAAAAATTAATTTTTCACATAATACTTTACTTTTTCTTTCAAAAATTTTTGTCACCATTAAACATAATATATTATTGTCAACTATGTATTATCACAATTACGAATTAATCATTGTGACAATTAAAATTGTCACTATTGAAAAATTTTATGAAAAATCGAATCTTATTTTTACAATGGGATTGAGATGGAGTTATTTAATTTGATTTCTTCATTTGAAATCCACAATGTTTGTTTTGCTCATGTTCAAATTCATGACTTCATGTGTGCAAATGTGCATATTACTTAAGAATCAAAGTTTATGATAAAATGGCATTTTCTTTTGGTGTTTACAATTTTACGGATAAGTTTCTTTTATAGTTCTATGTACTGCCATAGAATAGCAAATCATTCCATTTGGTCACAATTTTCATTCGTGGCACCATTCATTTAATTTTTCTTTAAAGTAAATTAATTGAATGGTTGATTGATTAATCAAATTAGTTCAATTTAATTGATTTATTTGGTTTGAATCGAATTCAAACACCTCTATACTTAAGATATGAAAGTTAAGCGAAAGAAAATGAAATGCTATGGTCATTGTGGTCAAGTTAAGTCAAAGATCTCCAAATCACCCAATGTGATTATTGTGGAAAACTTGTTCATGGTATACTAATTTCTTTTTATGTTGAAATTATAATATGGATATTGTCATAACGTCTAGATCCGGGGATCTTTCTTCCTATTGCTGCTCCTTAGCTTCCTGTAATTTCTGCAAAAAAAGTGATCAGCAATACAAGAGAAGAAACCAAAAGATCAACCAAACACTGTTCACGGTTGCGTCCCAGCAATAAATCAGATGTGGAATTGTATTCAGTATCCTCATCAACAAGATAATCAAAGGACGAAGTAAACTGCAGATCTCCTTTGGACCCAAGGCCAGTGATGAAGTAGTTTGAACACTGGCAAGAATTGAGTGGAAGAGGCCAGGAGTCCAACCATATACTGGCCAATAAGCAAGAGCTGATGCGATAAGATGACAGACGACTTCAAAACCAAGGGCAGAATCAGGATAGGGAGAGGATAAATCAGCTACACAAGCTGCAAGCTTTGGGCTTACTTCTCGATGCAACAATGCATTCCAGTTTTTTTTCTCCCCCTCTCCTATTCGGATTCTTCTTCTATCTTTCCTCCCCTCCTCCAAACTGTGAATCCCCCCTGATTTATAAAACCATGCTATTTTTTATAGAGTTTCAGTTCAATTCCACTTAGTCATCCAATGCTAAAGATTAGCAACTAATTATGCTTTCTGATCATCATCAAGCCTAATCTCAATCTCTTTTTTTTGAAATAATCAGATAATGAAGATAGAAAAAGAAAATAAACAATAAGTAGATCATAAGATAAAAATTAAAAAATGATAAATATGAAATAAAAAATAAAAAAAAATTTACAATCGAGCTTGGACCGGTTTTAACTGACAAAGGACCCCGAACAAAATGGGGTGTCTACAGCTGCTCCTTCACAGAAAATGTGTAAAGACGTAGACACCCATTCAAGACTCAACTGAATTTTTTTTTCTTTTTTTTAAATTTTGATCAAAGCTCCTCTAAGCAGAGGCTTAACGACTTTTGAGAAACATAAACAAAGCTCCTCTAAACAAAGGTAATTTTTTTTATTTTTTTGTTTTTTTTTTAATTTTGATCAAAGCTCCTCTAAGCAAAGGCTCAACGACTTCGAGAAACATAAACAAAGCTCCTCTATTCAGAGGCTTAACGACTTTGAAAAATAAATAAAGCTCCTCTAATCAGAGACTCAACGACTTTGAAGATTAAACAAAGCTCCTCTAAACATAGGTAATTTTTTGTTTTTTTTTTTTTTTTTTTTTTTTTAAATTTGATCAAAGCACCTCTAAACAGAGACTCAATGACTTTGAGAAACATAAACAAAGCTCCTCTAAACAGAGGTAATTTTTTTTTTTTAAATTTTGATCAAAGCTCCTCTAAGCAGAGGCTCAACGACTTTAGAAAAATAAATGGCTCCTCTAATCAAAGGCTCAACGACTTTTAAAAAATAAATGGCTCCTCTAATCAGAGGCTCAACGACTTTAGAAAAATAAATGGCTCCTCTAATTAGAGGCATCACAACTTTGAAAAGCAAATTGCTCCTCTAAACAGAGGCACCTCAACTTTTTGAAAAGTAAATTGCCCCTCTAAATATAGGCACCACAACTTTGGAAAATAAATTGCTCCTCTAAACAGAGGCAACGAAACTTTGAAAAGTAAATTGCTCCTCTAAATAGAGGCAACCACGACTTTGGAAATTAAATTGCTCCTCTAAACAGAGGCAACGAAACTTTGAAAAAATAAATTGCTCCTTGACCATCATGTCCAAAGGAGTTATGGACCTTGATTGAAGGAATTTTGTAATGGAACTCAAAGATTCACAATTTGAGTTCAATATTCAGAGGTTCAGATTCGCAAGAACCTTCCAACTTTATAAGAATTTACTGAAATTTGATTATCAAAATTTCAGTTTCATTCAAATTTGTAAAATCTCAAAATTTGCATTTGCAACTTGCAAGACTTGCATTAAAGATCCTCATTTGAATTTTGAAGATTCACATCCAAAAGTTCAAGGCTTTTCAAACGTTCTCATTTGGCAAACTTGGAATTCATATCAAAAAATCTAAAGCTTTTCATTTGAATTTTGGAGATTCACATCCAAAATTTCAAAGCTTCTCATTTGAGTTCAAAGGCTCACATGCAATAAAACTTAGAGTTTCGCATCTAAGTTCAAAGGTTCTCATTTAAAACATTAGAAATTCATATCCAAAAAAAAATTAAAGCTTTGTATTTTGGAGATTCACATCCAAAAGTTCAAAACCTTTCATTTGTTCGAAGATTCACATTCGACGAACTTGAGGGTTTCACTCTTCAAAGATTCTCATTTTGAAACTGAAATATTCTCATTTGAGTTCTCAAAAATTTTCATCAAAATAGTCACAATTTCTTTTTCAAGTGACTAAAAAATTTACATGAATGAATGTTATGACCAACGATGCAAATGTCTTCTTAATGATGCAAATGCAGCAACCTATATTCTCATAGTGCCATGCATGTCCAAATAAAGTTTAATTCACCAAATTATATGCATGTACTATTCAAGCGACGATGCCACCATGATGCATGTAATGCGAATGTCAATAATGTCATGAAATCCTAAATAATTATTGTAATATGGCTCTCAAGACCTACCATCTCACATTCTCCCCTTATTTAGCTTCTCAACATTTTAGAACAAGCTTCATCAATTGATCATCACTTGACCACCATTCATGGACTTCTCAGCATTAACAAATTTCAGAACAAGTTTCATCCACCATAACTGGGTCATTACTCATAGGTGTCTTAGCATTAACCATTCCAAAATAAACTTTGTCCACTGATTATTTTCATCATTCAATCATAACTTGCAAGTCATATCGATCAATTCATCATTGTACTCATCACTTAGTTATACCATTTTTTAAGATTTGCCCCATCTTCATTTTATTGTCCAATCCATCATCATATTCTTCATTTGGTCACATCATATGTCTTTTCAAATCATCTCTTTTAGGTTTCTATCATTTCTTCATTTTGTTACCACCACTATCTTAGATTTCTTTTCAAATGAATGCAAGACTCTTTTAAGCACATATTCATTCATTCATTATCATTTCAATTCTTGACAAATACAATGCAATCAAGCATTTTCTCAATTCATTCTAGGGGTGTAACAATAAGAGAACACAAGGTGAATTATGGTAAAAATAATCAATGAAGAACTATTTTGGTACAAAACAAACGGAAAAGGAAATAAATTGGATACATGTCATTGGGATGAATGGTATGTCTAAATGATGAATATTCAGACAATTCTCAACATTAATCTAGGATTCTTTTTCAAAAACTCATTCCATTTACTGTTGAAGTCATCTTGAGCTTGGCAAACTTTGCCCCAGCCTGTGAGGGATCTTCAGATGTCTTTGATCTTTCATTCATGTGAACCATTTAACCTGGATCTTTTTCTACCAAAATCACCCTTTCAGGTTTTC